TCCTTCATGAACCCCTTTTTACTATGAGGGAGAGATACATGTCATCCCTCTGCTGACACCTTCTCTGAGCACACAGTCTCACCTCAGCAAAATGAAGTGAAATTGCATCGATGTATGTATATGAATGTAATTGATTTCACTTATGTTCATTTAGAAAAGGCTTTTCTTTTCTGTGGTGCCTATTTGGACCCACAGCTCATACATTGGGGGTCTAGCTCAGGGGCATATACCTATTTATGAGCAGTCAGTTCTTTTTGATGATTCAGAGAAGAGGCTATATAAATTCATTTATCCAGCAAAAACCTGGTCCCTAACATGCATTCTAAAGTAGATGCATAAAGCTGCCATCTGACCCGACAATTGCAGACTTTCTCATCTTACACTCAGGACTATATTAGCTTCTCTGGATCTTTAGTAAAAGTTGATTAAAGATATTTTCTCCAGTGTAGATGTAGAAGACATCCCCGCTTCATCGGACCCATCCAACCATCCCCTTTTGCTTCTGGAAGCTTTTGCCTTTCACTTCTGTTTGCCATTTGATCATACCTCATACTGCAAGCCCTGTGTTGGAGGAAAATGACTTTCTCAATTAAATGGTAGCGACTATTCTGTATTCTTTAAAAAAAAAAATCCACTGAATACTGCATGTTTTTCTGCTTTGGAAAAAATGACAAAAACTATAGTAGTTTTAACTGTCATTTAAAAAATGAACATACCCCAAACCTGTCTGAATTCATTGGTTTTGCAGAACCAGACTGAAAGTAGACCATGTGCCAAATTATGGCAGAACAGATTCTTCTTTAGGACTTTTATAATACATTGTGTTTTTTTTTTTTTCTTTTTTTTCCTGTCTTTGTATCTCAGTACTGGCAATGATTTCTGAGGCATCAAGCTTTTCCCACCTTTGTGTAAAGTTAATCAAAGTCACTCCCTTAGTCTTGAGCTATTTTCCTTTTTTATGTTGGACCAGATCCTTCTCATGCCTACCTTACATAGACCCTTACACAGAGATGGATTTTACTGGAGTGGAATGTGTATTGTCAAGAATACCTTTGTAGATACCAATAGCCAGGTTCTTTTATAAAAACTTTCAAAAAGAATGAGTGAATGAATGAATAAATGCAGAGATTTGGTTTTGGGGATAGGCATTACTCTCTCTATGTATATGTGCATATGATGTGTCTGGGAGTGGCGTGCATGTTATGGCACACATGTGGAGATTAGAGGACAACTTTGTGGAACGGGTTCTGGGGATAGAAATGAGGTCATCAAATTTACATTATCAGGCATCAAGCACCTATTATAACGGAGTTATCATGCCGGCCCCTTAGTTTTGTCTTTATTTTTTTTTAATGTGTGAGAGTGTATTGCTTGAGTGTATGTAAGTGTACCCGTGTTGTGCAGTGCTGGTGGAGGTCAGAAGAGGGCATCAGATCCCCTGGAATTGGCGTTATGGGTGTTTGTTAGCCACCATGTAGGTGCTAGGATTTGAACTCAGGTCCTCTGCAAGACAGCCAGTGCTCTTAACCACTGAGCCATCTCTCCAGCCCTGTTTTTCACTTTAAAATTGTATGTGGGAGTAGGATAATTGTTACGGAGAAGATGGGGATATTGCTTGAGTACAATGCCCTTCCTGTTGCAAAATGCTAACATTTAAATTATAGGTTAGTTTCCAAAGTACTCTCTTATCTATTGAATTTGATCTTTACAGCAATCCTAGGATGTGGAAGGGAAGGTCATTATACAAAGAACCATCATTCCTAAAGAAGTCAGAGCTGATCAAGTTTGCTCCTATCTCATGGCTGAAAACATAAACTTGAGACTGAAAACATGGTCTCCTGATAAGTGCTGTGCTTCCCTGGCAGATCAGGGAATTGCAACTTGGCTGTTGTGGTCTTGGGTCAGTCTGAGAAATTCACATTCTTTTGTCACACATCTCAGGAGACTGATTGTGATGCAGGTGTGCCCTGAAATATACTTAAAAACCCTTACTCTACACCAAATTGTACCCTGCTGTCCTAGTTTGTTTCTTCATTGCTGTGACAAAATACTCTGACCAATACCAACTTGGGGAGGAAAGGGTTTATTCAGCTTACATCTCCCAGGTCACAGTTCATCAGGGAGCCCAAGGTAGGAACTCAGGGCAGGAACCTGGAAGCAGGAGCTGGAGCACAGGCCATGGAGGAAAGCTGCTTACTGGCTTGCTCCTCTAGCCCCTACTCAGCCTGATTTCTTATACAACATAGGGCCACCTGCCCAGGGGTGGCACCACCCACAGTGGGCTGGGCCCTCCCACAGCACTCAACAATCAAGAAGGTGCCCCATGGACATGGCCACAGGCCAGTCCAATGAAGGCAATTCCCCAATTAAGGCTCCCTGAACCCCAGGTGTGTCAAGTTGATGCGAAAGCTATCCAGCACACCTGCCTTTCAACTTCTTTATAATTAGTTGTAATATACTGATAATACCAATTTTAAGATGGGTTGTTTAACTTGAAAGGACTGCAATGATAGGGTTTTATTATCATTATTTAATGTTCAAAAAGAAAAGGGAAATATAAGTTAAAAAATTAACAAAAATGGTTTCCTGACATTTTGTGAGACCCCTTGCTATTCTATTTTCTTGATGGACTTCTAAGCAATGACCTAGCAGAAAAGTAATAAAAGATGTCTGTCTATGCTCAGATAGCTGAAGTTGAAAATAGTGAGTCCACTAAACACCATCAGAAGGCGATGGACCGTGTTCCTGTCCCCCATTACAGCACAGTTTAGAGGGCCATGTGGACTGTGCCAGAGAAACCTAGTGTCTTAAATAGGGGTGTCCAACTGGTGGAAGGAATGCCATGTGCCCCTGATGCTGGCTGGAGGACTCTGGCATATGTTATCAACTATCTCAAAGTTAGCAAAAGGAAAACGTGTGAGACAGATGTTTCAGCAACAGTGAAAGTGAAAAGAACGCTGTAGAACAAACCTGATTGAATGGTGTCAGGCCTACTGTGGAAAACAACTGAACAAGATCTAAACAAGTATAATGCCTTTGGAAGAGTTCTTATGGTATATGTCAGGAAAGGTATTAAAACTAGTTATTTTAAAAGGACCATAAACTTCCTAGTCCTTTAAAAATATTTATTTACTTATGAGTGCATGATATGTGTGGGGGGGAGGGGCGCATATGCCATGGAGTGTGTGGCAGTCAGAGGACAACTTGGTGTAGTCTGCTCTCTCCTTCTACCTTTATGAGGGTTCTGTGGATTGAACTCTGGTTACCAGGCTTATGTGGCAAATGCCTTTACCTGCTAAGCCAACTCATTGGCCCTAAACTTCCTAATTCTAAGCCAAGCCCAGTGAGCCACTGGGAAGCAGTAGGGTAGCAGTAGGGTGTTTGTTGAACCCTGCAAAAGGACATGAATGCTGACAAGCTGTGACAGGTCTGTTAGTATAGGAAGTAGAAGACGTCTTCGTTCCCCAGTGGTTCAGGGCTTTTGCCTTTTTTACATTAGCAGATTATCAGGTTGACTGGTCTTCACGGAGAGAACTGGCTCATTAAGGAAATCAACATACATATGCCTAGTGCCAAACTTATAGTGATAGGTAGAAAAAAATTAGAATATTTGGTGGCCACCTAGGTGTCTTTGGGCATCTGTGGATTTGGTAGCAGTAGAGTGGGTAGAACTGGAGTGGCAATCAAGGCTTTAGTGTGGGCTGGGACTGAACTTTAACTTGGTCAGCGTTCATCTGAGCAGTGCTCCAAAGCAGTTAGGGTATGGTGGTCATGTGAGCCAGTTGGCAGAGCCAGTCAGATCCATGAGGGAATAACCAAAGTCAAAGTCAAGGCAACATGCAAAAGGAACCACACTCGAGCCTTTGATTCTAGAAATAACTCTTACAGTGGTTCTAATTCCAGAGAAGTACTTGGTGATCAGGCAGTGACTATAATGAGGTTTTGGTGGATGCTAAATCTTTTGGCTGGAAAATGTTGGTAATTCAGTTGGGGATGGTTGGTTAATATAGAATGGTGGGAATTCAGATTTTCTAAACTGAATTTAGTATAAATATATTGTTTTATATATATGTGTACTGTGAATTTTCCAAAATTGGTTTTTCAGTATAAGGTATGTTCAGCAGTATTTCTGACATTTTTCTTTAGAAACAAGGAAGAGTTAAAGGAGTTTTACAAATCTTGTGACCTAGAGTTGAAGGATTGAGTAGTTAAAAGCAAACTACTGCTCGCCTTATTGATAATGGAAAACACTGCAGTTGATTTCCAAAGGGTTCTCTTGTCACGTTTTTATCCCTGGATTTGTCAAGAGAATTCTTTGCATGTCAAAGGTGAAAATCATAGATGAGAATTATGTTCTTTTCTCTTTGTTTTGAGCTTCACCATGTAGATTTTCTTCCTTAGGGGAAATTAAGGGGGGAAGGGGGTGGCTATCTGTGGGACAGGGAGTAAACAGTGGAGAGGGGACAGAATGGAAGCTAAAATTTCTCTGATGTCTGTTGCTTTCTAGCTTGGGTCTTGAACCTATAAATGTTTTATATAATTGAATAAAAAAGTAAAAAGAGAAGCAAATCTCTGTATATGCAGAAAACAGCATAAACAAATTGATATAACTGTGTATCACAGAAAACTTGAAATATTTAGACTTGACATCCCTTGTGGAATAGAGCCCAAGGCAAAATGAAAATGATTACAAAGAATTCTTAAAACTTTATTCAGTAATCTTATCATTAATTTATATATCATTAATTATAAATGAGTAATTAAGTTAGTCCAGCTAGGAGCTAAGTTTCTGTGTAAGAATAAGTCTTAAGTATAAACTTGAAAGAGTAATAATCTAATCATCTTTCATTTGAATAGGAGCTGTTTGTCTGAATACATGATTTTTATTATTAGATATGCCCACTGAAAATAAAAGAGGAAACTGAGAGGCAATGAAGCTCAGTAGAATTTAGTGCCCGTGTACCAGACTGTGGTCTTCAAATGGCATTTCTCACTACTAGGCATTAGGACTCCGTGAAGAAATGGCTCATCCCAGCTCTGGAATGTGAAGCATATAGAATGGCCTTGGGGCATCTTGAAGCTGAAAATCATCAAAGAGAGAACTGGAATCATGTCAGGATCATTCAGAAGCCAACCCGAAGGGGCAGGACCAAGATGGGAGAGTCTGAGCATGAAAGGATTGAAATGTATAAAAATACTTAAGTTTAGTATAGTACTTTAAAATATAACACAACAAAAATGGAAGCCAAATTCATCTGTCACTTCTAAAGATGTGAAGTAATAAGTCCTTATTCTGAAGATGGATTAAGAAAAAAAGGAAACCTGGCATCCATCTCCACTTCCCTTATGGCCTATACTTCAGGGCAAGTTCTTCATAGGAATCAGAGCTAATAAGTAGAAAGGGATGCTACAAAAAAATATTTGAAGACATGATTTTACAACATCTGATGAAACAATGGAGGTAACAGCAATGAATGGATGCTACAGTGGAGCTTTTACAGTGGTGAAAATGGAGCTTTTTAATAGAAGATCAGGCTGACAACACTTGAACCCATAGGACAGTGTCCACATCACTGAAAGTGGGCCCATCAAACATGCTGCTCCACAGTGATCTGATACTAAAGAAACAGTGCTACCTTCTTCCCCACACCCACCCTGTCTCCCAACAAGGTTGAACCAAAATGTCATAAACATCCATGTCTAATTACAGTGGTCTCCCCTTATCATGAGGATATATTCTAAGACCTCCCCAATGGATGCTTGAATTCTGTGGAGTTACCAAATCTTTCATTTATTCTTGTCTTTCCTCTCTCTATATATGATAGTTTAATTTGTAAATTAAAGATAGTGATTATATTTAAAATTAATAATGCACCAGAGCAATTACAATAGACTAATATAATATAATATAATATAATATAATATAATAAATATGTGGTTGCATCTGCTGCTCAAGGTGGCTTATTTTGCACTCATTCTTCTGGCCTGAAGGTTTCTTTTCTTTTTTGTGGTGCTGGAGATCAAACCCAGGCCTCATGCATAGTAGACAAGCGTTCTATCACTGAGCTACCTCTGGCTCTAATTTTTTTTTCTTTCTTCACACTTTTAGAATTAGAAGATTCATTCTTACTGTTGATTTTAGCAACCTCTGAATATGTTTTTTTCACTCTTTCACCTAAAGGATGTGTTTATGACTTCTCTTTGGCACATATATCTGAGCATATACGACATACACAGCTTCCCCGCTCTTGCACTTTGGGGACCCTATTAAGTGAAATAAGAGTCCTTGGAACGTGAACACTGAGATCCCAGGACAGCCAATCAGGTAAACAATATGAGTTCTGGCTGATGGACTGGGTAGGTAGCACATTACATTTTTACCTCAGGTGGGACTAAGCAGACCAGGGGAGAATTTTATCATACTATTCAGAGTGGCATGCAGTTTAAAACTTAAGAATTATTTACATCTGCATTTTCCATTTAATATTCTCAAACTTTGTTAGCTGTGGGCAACTAAAACCACAGAATCTGCTCCTGATAACAGGGATCCTTCTGTACCAGTTTATAAGAAAAACAGAGGACAGAGGAATATGTTTAACACCATAGGGTTTAAATGAGCCCATCCCTCAATGTAGACGTTCCATAAAATGATTGAGTCAGTCACTTCAGCACCCGGATGTTATACATGAAGTAGAGAAGGAGAAGTGGTACAAGTTCAAGAGTGAAGAGCCGAACGCAGGTGTGAACCTTGTTTGGAACCTAATTCATACAACCTATCCATAAGCTATCTTTCTTTCTAAAACTTTTCTAATTCTAGAAAAGTGGAATGTAGTCTGCTTGTTATTAAGGACTCTTGATAATTTGATTGAGTCTCCAACAGCACTGAGGACCTTATGTATTAGAAGTACCTATCAATGAATTTAAATGATATCTGTGATGTTCTTTTTTATTTTTTTTAAATTTTATTATGTGTATGAATGTATTGCCTGCATTTGTGTAAGTGCACCCATGTTGTGCAATGCCCACGGAGGTAAGAAGACAGGGTCAGATCCCCTGAAACTGAAGTTACAGACAGGTGTTAACCGTAATGTGAGTGCTGGGAATCGAACCCGGGTCATCTGCAAGAGCAGTCAGTGCTCTTAACCACTGAGCCATCTCTCCAGCCCCATGATGTTCTTTAAAAATCAGTCCATCAATAGGCTCAAGACACATTTTATACATGTATGAAACCATCAAGGAATAAATAAAAGATAGAAAAAGAAACCATTCTGTCAGACATAAACAGGTATGTATAAGGAAATTGATAAAATCAGAATGACCAAATGAAATAATCGTTAACATTTCATGATGAGTTCATGAAATTCTTTACACGGTTTTCTCTACTTTGTTGTATATGAAAAATAAACTTGGTTAAAAATAATCAAATTTTGCTGTCTGAGAGGCAGAATTCCGGCAAAAGGCCTGGGTTAAGCTACGAGTTGTTTGGCTAAGTGACTCTGCTCTCCTCCCTGTTTTTCTCTTCTCTTCTCTTATATCCTCTGTGTTTCTTCAAAAATCATCCCCTGAGCCATATTTGCACCAGGCACTGTTCTGGCACTACCACCCTTGCAAAGAATAGATACTGTTATTCTTGTTTCTTGCCCGCTGTGTTAGGTTTCCATCACCATTTCAAATGTACTTGAGATAATAGTCATTGTCTATTTGAGACTGTGATGGCATTGTACACGTGGCCAGAGTATGTGTCCAAGGAGTTTTCTTTGCCTCTGGTGGCTGAGGTCCCGTCTCTCTTCAGGGGCAGCCCTCAGTGGCCCACCTAACTTCCCCTAGGTTCTGCTTCCTGAGGGTTCCACCACTTCCCAGCAGTGCACAGGCTGGAGCCCAAGCTCTTTACACACAGGCCTTTTGGCCATGTTCATTCCAAACCCACCTGCCTGCCCCAAATCTGAGCTCTTATGCATTATTTTATGCTGATTTCCAGGAACATAAAGATTTTATAGTTTTAAGTTTTTACTTTTGATTTTATTGTGGGTAAATCTTGAATAGTAAGGACAAATCACGTAGAATGGCATCTGCATTTCTTCTATGAGACTCATAGAGGCATCATGCCTGTGGCAGTTACAAGACCTCATCAGAGGCAAGTGGAGATAAAGGTAAAGTATGTAGCAGCTTCCTTCTCATTCATAAAAGACTAGAACCCTGCAATTTATAGCTTTGAAGTACCCCCTCCACAATATAACATTTATTTGTGCTTGCTCTTCAGCAACATTTTAATTTTTTACTAGAAATAAGGCCTGAGGGAAAATGGATGATTCAGTTTCTTGTGTGTTTTTGAAACATTTTTCAGACCATTGTAATCATTAAAAAAACCCTTAAAAATGTAAAAACAAATATACCAAGCCCTGAACTTCCCCTATACTGTGATTTGCTTTACTTCTTGGCAAATTTATTATTGCTATTATTTTCTTTTTTGTAAAACCTGGGGGTGCCTGTGGGCATGTGCAGACTTTGCTGTCATCTGTCCTGTGTCATGCTCTGGATGTCAGGAGTAGCAGTCATCCATCAGGGAAGAGGAGCCAGCTGCCTCACTGAGTTCTTGCTGCTGCAGGGCACGTAGGATTTGTACCTTCTGCTCTGCAGGATTTACTGAGATGTGCAAAGCACTGCAGTGCAGTACGGCTGGGCTCACAGCATGATTTATGTCTCAGATGTCCGACTGGGTTTTAGGAAGTTGGACTCATGTTTCTAACTTTGTTGTTTCCTTCAAGAATCAAAGTTCTAAATATAGTCAGGATGAATGAGAAAATTTTACTCACATTCAGGGACCAGTGAGAACATTGTAAATAGAACAATAAATATCACTACTATTTCTTTAATCTTACAGTGTATGCCAGGTACTGTGCTAAGCCCTATACATAATCAGATTTCACCATCAGTAATTCTGTTTCATAGCTGAGTTGACTCAAGCACAGAGAGGTTATGTGACTTTCCCAGGGTTTCACAGTTAGGAAGAGGCAGAGCTGGGTCATAGAACCATTTCATCAGACCCCAGAGCCATTGCTTTCCAGCCACGGTGCAGTCTCAGTGCCAACAGAAGACGATGAATGCTCAGTGCTCCACCCCTGCCCTGGTTTGGCTCTGGACAGCTTCCAGAGCACCTTCAAAACTTTTGTTCTGTGCCAGGGCATCTTTTCTTTACTTTTATAGCTATCTGGAGGCAAGCAGAAAGAGGTGAAGAAACCAGCAGAATGCACAGGGCAACTCCGCAGAGCTGACATTAGAACACTTGAGTATAGGCTGACTGCTGTCTAGAGGGAAAACCACTTGGCCTGGCTTCCTTGCAAGACAGTTAAAGGTCATCAGAATGGACATTCATTTGACCTGTCACAAAGAAAATAGGTCAGACATGAAATATAAACAAATGAGCAAGACATGCCATTTGATTATAAACAGCAAAATAAAATCCATCTTACTCAATAAGACTATGTCTGTTCTTTACCAATGTGCTAGAAAAGCACAGAGCCTATTTACTCTGAAATCCGAGACATCTTCAGGCACAATCCACTATTCATATGACATAATTTCTTCAAAAGAATGATACTTTGATAAATATGGTTTCTAGCATCAGTCACATATAGAAACATTGGAAAGTACGACATAGTATTTTACTTTTATTATTTTTAGGCAGATAAGAACTATATTTGAAAATACATATGCCCAAACACCTCTAAAAGTAATTCACAATTGGCAATTATTTGGGATACTTTTCTCTAGTTTGGGAAAAGGAGTTTTAAAATGCATATTTGATAAGCTTACTACTTTTACTAGTAAAGAGGGGAACATTTTGTCAGCTTACATAAGTGGAGTATGTTTTACTACTTACGCAGTAGTTGAGGATGACTCAAACTGATTTTCTCTGAGTAACATCAGAAATGAAAATAAAAATCATGTCTACTCCAGAGGATAGTGCACTTGAGTTAGCCCTGGGTACGAATGGCCTATGAGTCACTCACTGGTCTGCATCTTCCTCAGCTCCTTCGTTCCCTGACTTGTGGGTTAGACCTCAAAGATGCTTCTCTGAGGCGTCTCCCTGGCTGCTTTTCTCCTGCATTACTCAGCCACACCTGGTGGTGGTAGCTAGCTCCTGGTAGGAAAAGAAGACCAAGGAATGGATCTGTGAAAACAAGAGTGATTAATTCATGGGAGACCTTTTGAAGGGAAGAAAATAGATTTGAAATTTTGGCAGTATTCACTGTTTTGATGAAAAAACAAGAGATCATGATATAATTTCAATGGGATTTTTAAGGACTTGTGATGCTTCACTTCATGGATCATTAACTCAAATCATGTGTTTAGTTACCAGTGAGAAGTTGGGTAGCTAAGCAATAGGAATGATGTTTAAGATCTAGTTCTATAGTTTGTGACCTTGAACAATTCATTTAACACTTTGACCTTAGGTTCTTTTATTTTAATTGCTTATTTATGTGTACTTGTGTCTGTGTGGATATATACCATGTGTGTGCAGGTGCCTGTGGAGGCCAGAGAGGGTGTTGAATCCCTGGAGCTAGAGTTATAGGTGGTGGTGAGCTGCCTGATGTACTTGTACATAACTGAACTTGGGTTCTCTGGAAGAGCAGCAACTGCTCTTAACCACTAAGTCCTGTCTCCAGTCCTGGTCCTTAGATTCTAACGTAAGGCGTGTTTATACTTTGTTTCAGTGGTTACATCCCACTTCATCAAAATGGTATGACTGTAAATTCTTGTGGGCTATATGAATAAGACAGGATGGGTGGAACATGGGTTTGGGTTGTGGAGGGGCATCAGGGAATAGCAG